CACCGAGCTACCCCCACATCTTACAAGCAAAGTCAACCTCAGAATTTTATTGTCAGAATACACCCAAAAACACGCCCAATACGACCCCATCAGAGGAAGAGCTGATTCAGAGTGGAGTAAAGGTAAAACCAATTCACATCCCTAAATTTATCACAGCCATGAAGTGTTGCATGTACCACGGATTTGGGCATGTTGAATCAAACTGCACAACCGATGGGTGATCTGCTTCACTGAGCAGGGTGTTGTTGAAAAATTGAGCAATGACACAGTTGATCCGAGTGAAGATAAAGACTTCAAAAAAATATCTCAACGTACAGACAACGAGGAAAAGACATCATCGATTCTAGTTGACCTTAAAAGAGAGAATGCATTAGAGGTAACAATAGTTGTTCTAGAGAGTGGTGACTTTGATGTATGGGGCATTCATGCAGAGTATGAGATTGTGGTTCCTCGAACTACCGTTTGACAAGTGTTGATAGGAATATTATCAGGATTGACTTTGGAACTCCAAATGGGTCATGAGCTTGAGGAGCCAATACCAGACATAGGTCAGTTTTAGATAAAAGAATTTCAGGCATTCCAAATATATAATATGTCTCCTGAGTTGCCCCTAGGGAAGAAGGTACAACTTGTCGCATATGAGAAGATTTTGAGTCACTTCTGGAAGACAATCTTGAGTCATTTGAGGATTAAAATCAGTTCAACGGTGTACCTCCTGATAGAGGATCAGACAGGATGGATGAACCGTAGTGATGGGAATCACCCCAGGATCTTTAGGAGAAAAAATATTCTGTCATGGGATCGATGTCCTTCCCGACAAGAAGAAAATGCCTCTTATGAGTGGTTACACATCAGGGTGGCTCATTCTGCTAGAGAAGTCAATCGATATTTGACCCTCTTGCCATCCTTTGCTTATTAGACAAAGCAAACCGAGAACGAGTGGGAAAAGCATATTATATATTTACTTGTTCAAAATTTGGCTTGGGAGAATCTTTGTTATTATGTACCTCCAGCTCAGGTTATGTCAAAAAAGGACAGATATTATTCTATCAAGATGTTTCTTGGAACGACGTCACCTACAGAATTGACTTACCGGGAGCTTACAATATTGATTGAACTGACTAATAAGAGACAAAAAGCTTCGATGAATGAGGTCAAAGCTCCTCCAACTCCGAAAGATTAATGTGGGGTCTTGGGGCTGAATTGGCCCTTCCGATTCAGCAGTTCAACTAGTTCAACAGGAAGAAGGCTCTCAATTCAGCAAGAGGCAAGACCGCCCCCCCTCCCCATTTTCATTAAGCGGGATTCCCCCTTCCTTTTCTATTTCCGCCTATATCTCTATTATAAATGTGTGTTGCTGCCGTAAAGTTTATTTTTTGGTTTATTTTGATCTCAGGTTCCTACCTCCGGGCGTTTCCCTTGCCCAGGTTGTATCTGATGACGAGGTGTTCTGGCCGTAACTCATCCCGATGTGGTGATTATATCTTCCCTTGTTCCTGTTTTGTCGCCCGTTAACCCCCTCCCTTCCATTTCATCTACTGCAGACCCTCACCTGTGATCCCTGCTGCAGCTCCTCCCCTGTTACACCTGTTACAGCCCCTCCCATAACCACATTCTGACCTGCCAGTCCTGCCACCTCATTGCTCCTTCCCGTTG